TGGTATCAGGAGTATTTCGCCACCAGCGTCCTAAGTTACGTGCATGAGGTGAGGGGCGCGTCCACATATCATCACCATTACCGACTTATGTCGGCCACAGTAAATCTCTGCTACTTTGAACTACTATATTTGCCAAAATAATCCCGCCAATGCTACATGCATCATAGTCGACTACCATGTGCAGCATTTGTCGGATTGTTTTTGGCGCGTACAGTGGCTATCCCAGCTGCTGTCCCATTATTTATAAAGATGAAACGGTAGGAAACTTCACTTCTCAACTCCAAACTCCAAAAAACGGTCTCTCCATTGCGATTCAAATTCAAATTTTCAACACACCAACATTTTTTTTCATCACCCTGAAGATGGGCCAGGCCCAAAAAATTGCTGTAATGTAAATTTGAATTTGAATCGCAGTGAAGAGACCGCTTTTGGAGTTTGGATTTCAGAAGAGAAGTTTCCTAAATGTGTAAATGACTGCGTTGGAGTTTGCGGACAATTAGAAAAAGAACTGTAAATTGATATATTTCTGGATTCCCCAGAGGCTGGGAAGCCGATCAGGGGGTCCCCATTCCAGCATGTAAAACATGAATGGCACATTATAGAGGGATGCGAGTGAAAAGAATACGTACAATTATGATATCCAGAGCTGGTTAAGAAATCAGAAAATACTGCATTTGCTGTACTCTCGCCTTTGCATTGTAAGTGGTGCTCAGAGAAGGTTATAGCACAGCTATTTGCGTTACGTATTGACTTTGCATATGGCTTTCGAATATGTGTGATCCACGACATTGTCTGAGTTAGATGGTAGACACAAGAATCTCTCTCTTTCTCTCTATTTCTCTCTCTCTCTCTCTCTCACACACACACACACACACACACACACACACACACACACTCTCTCTCTCTCTCTCCCTCTCTCTATCTATCTATCTATCTATCTATCTATCTCTCTGTCTCCCTCTCTATGTATCTATCTACCTCATTCTCTCGTTGTTCTCACTCTTTCTCTCTCACACACACACATACACACACACACACACACGCACACACACACACACACACACACACATACACACACACACACACACACACACACACACACACACACGCACGCACACACACACACTGTCTCTCTCTCACACACACACACACACACACACACACACACGTACTCTCTCTCTCTCTCTCTCTCTCTCTCTCTCTCTCTCTCTCTCTCTCTCTCTCTCTCTCTCTCTCTCTCTCTCTCTCTCTCTCTCTCTCTCTCTAACTCTCTTTCTCCCTTTACCCCTCTGTCTATCCACCCCAATAATTCCATCATGTCCTTTCTACTTTCTTTACAGGATGGATCATTATCGTGGGACGAGACATGTGTGCTGTTTCAAATAATTCCAAAATTCAACCGAGATCCGATTCTGAGGATTCTAAAGGACGCTGGGATCTTCTCATTAGGTTTGTTGTACTAACTCTGCATAAACTGGAGTGAACTCGGATGGAGAGCCAAGGATAAATTTGGAAAAAATAACCAAGGAACTCCTTGTGTTATCTCTATAACTTAGAACCTTCCAAGTTGGAAGGCTGTTGGAGTGCGCATCCAAGATGTGCTAGAGCTGTTAGCCAGTTAGGTGTAGAACGTCAGTACCGTCGGTCAGTGTCGTGCAATGTTATCGCATGAGCTGATTGTTCAGTAACTGGTGGTGTCAGTGGACATTTTAGCGTAACTTGTAGATCCTTTTCTCAAGGTTTGGAGACTCCACTGTAGCCAATACATGAATCCATACATCCTGTACACAAACCTTGTACACACTCTCTCTAACGGTCTCTAGGCTACACTGCAATTGATATACATTAGATCAAATTTTCGGGCAAGGCCCATCATCAGGAGGTCCTTGGTCCTTTTTATTGTTTATAAATAGACTAGAGTGACTAAATGAGATGGCGTTTGGGGTATTTCCTTGATATTATATAGTTCACTTGGGCAACTCATTGGGTATCTACAGGAACCGTATTTTTCAGAGTACCAGCCGCACTCGAGTATAAGCCGCACTCGAGTATAAACCGCACCCCTCCCTTTTTTGGAAGAATTTTGAATGTTCAAAGTACGGCTTATACTCCAGAAAGCACAGTATGTTGGCACAGGAAAATCATTTAAGACTTTTAGAAAGAGTGGGTACTGAGATTTCCGGTGTCTTTTCCGGATATATGTGTGTGTGTGTGTGTGTGTGTGTGTGTGTGTGTGTGTGTGTGTGTGTGTGTGTGTGTGTGTGCGTGTGCGTATGCATGCGTGTGTGTGTGTGTGTGTGTGTGTGTGTGTGTGTGTGTGTGTGTGTGTGTGTGTGTGTGCACGTGTTCCTGTGCGCTTGCCTGCACGTGCACATCTCCAGGTGAACGCATGTCGTCACTCGTCCTGTCGTTTGTAGTGACGGCCGTTCTGGTCTATATCGGAGCTTTGATCCCCACCAAGCCGTTCAGTAGTCAGCTTGCCGGCTTGAAGAAAGAAACGGCGCTTCGGACGTCCGTCGAGTTTGTGCGTCGCTGTCTGGCTGAGAGTAGTTACTGTTCAAACCTGTCAAGCTACCTGGGCATCGGCAATAATCTTGACGACGTTCTGCAGTTTGTCATGTTCGAGTGCATCGACTGCCCTGATGTGATTGACTTGCATAACAGGACGGTCAGACCGTGTTTCAATCTCCGTGACGCTTAGCTTGGTCCCCAAGTTTGCATTGTCACCGTTGATGGTTATGTGTTTGACTGGCGCAGAGTGAAGATCAGATGAAGTTTGTATCACCATGACGTTTAGCTGGGTCTCCAGGTTTGCATCGTCACCGTTTTTTGCAATTACACAAAAGGCTCGTACACACAAGTCATGTCGACACACATATGCGCGTGTGCATGCACGCACACAGACAAACACACATATGCGCGTGTGCATGCACGCACACAGACAGACACACACACACGCATACACCCGCGCGCTCACACACACAATTCAAGCACGCACAGCCCTATTGCCAATTGCTAAAACCTGTTTTTTTGTGCATGAACCGTGAATTATCTCTGTAGAATTACAAGTAACTTAGTTGTCCTTCGAAGCAGCCAACCCTCCTGCATAAAATTATCCAAATTTAGTTTACCCACTGGAAAGTATTACAATCCTACTTCACTCGCTAACAAAGTCGAGCAGCTAGTTGTCTGGAGATTCAGCATTTCCCTCGCTTTATCATTCCTTGCGTTTTCAAACCCACTATGCCCAATGGCTTCCCTTCGTATTGCAGCATTTCAAAACTTGCATGCATCATGCCACACCGATTTGAATATACATGTACTTCGAAGTAAACGACTGGATTTCATTGAGCAGGACTGTAAACTATTTGTAACAGTACATCTACGTTTGGCCCTGGCATCATTTCGCAGCCCAGTGTGCTCGCAGGTCTAGGACAGCGCAACGCCCGGCGCGTACTCGAGTGACACGACTGGATTTCATTGAGCAGCACTGAGTCTGTCTACAAGGCTGTAGATCTACAAGACTACATGTACAGTGAAGCCTGTCTAAGACGACCGCTCAAGGGACCTTCAAAATGTGGTCTCTGTTGCCAGGTGGTCTCCGAATCCAGAGTCGTTTGACTGCAAATACTATTATTATTAAAAAAATTATATCCCTTGGTCCTGGTTGCAAGTGGTCTTTTGGGGCAGGTGGTCGCCTTTTCAGAGTGGTCGCCTTGACAGGTTTTACTGTAGATGACTTTGCTACTCAATCCTCTGCATGATTGAATTATTTTGTTGCATTGACTGTAGGCCGTGGCAACTGCACTGACAGTGTTGGCTGTCGACATGTCCTTGATCCTCGGACGCCAACAGTAGGGATCTCAGCGCGTGCACTGCGCATGCAGTTCGCGCATGCAGCCAAACGCGCATCAGAAGTGGCATGCAGAAATTTTGCCAAACACTGGCTATTTTTTGCAGAAAATTGAGACCTTGAACGAAGGAGAAATGGCTGAAATTTCCTTGCAAGGAGATGGTGGTTACAGGCTACCTGCTTACCAGAATGGGATCTTGTTTGGTATGTTGGCCGCCCATGTGTTCTGGAATCGATTTGTAGCTTTCGTTGGAAGGCGCGAAGCCGTTTTCGTTCCAAACGACAGGGTTCTTTCAGAGCGGAAAATGGCGACCATGCCGATCGTTGCCACGATCTCCGAGTTGAAAATCTCTGGATTTAACCGGGGAAAAGCTCTGGATTCAACGGTAAACCCGGCAGAAATACTTGATGTTGGATGTTGAGAGTTTGCAGAAAATTTGACCGAAGCGTTCATGCTCCACTTGACGGTGTTCGTTCTTGTGAATTTCTGCATTTCTGACATATCGCCGTGCATATGGGCCGTTGTTCCAGAGACATCGATTGTCAGGTGTGGACAGGGTTTTGTTCGAGTAGTCGTGTGGAGACGTGGTTTGGTTCTCACAGGCAACAGGAGCGGCTCCTCGGGATGGCGAAAGCCAAATCTACCCAAAGCCGACTTCACGATCGCCGATCTTCTGGCGGCGCATTTTCACTTATGCTCTGCAACAAGCGGCACAAGCTGTGGAAATCGTCAGATGATATTAGCCTATCAGTGTGCCCAGAACTTCTAGTGACTCTACTGAAGCATTAGCTTGAGTAATCTTTCTTTCTAGCCCTCTCTTTCTCTCTCTCTCTCTCTCCCTCTCTTTCTCTCTAAAAATGTTCCAAACTTCAAAATCTAGGTCCAGCTGCATCGGGGAGTCGTCAAATACCGACTTACTGAGCTGGTTTTTGGCGATCGCCATTTTCTTTCAGTCTGCCATCGCCGCGTTGAAAAATCGATTACATCATTGAATGCGCAAAGCCATGCGCAGTGTCCGCGCTGACATCCCTACCAACAGGGACCAAACTCCGAAGCCCCTCCAGCCTGAGGCTGAAGCCTGTGCATAGCCCATTCCCAGTTCAGTTACTGAGTCTGTCAGTCTGTCAATCTAAATCCACTGCTTTTATTCTGGATTTTGGAAACCCGTAAATCTTTCTTGTCACTCGGCCTTCGATCCAGGACATGCAAGTGTACATCTGATTCCTACTTTTAGAAGGTTTTCGTTCTGAATTACCCTATTCGACAGTTGCGATGCGTTGAAAATCTACTTTGATCGCGACAGAGTGAAGAATTTTCGAAAGCCACCAGGCACCATCGATCCACCGACCATTGCATGATGACCGTGAGTAAACGCTGCGAAGGCATGTGTCACCGTGTGACATGTCGACAGTTCCTTGTTTGAATTATTATCTACGAGAAGTTAGTTGTTCCGCCGCTCTGGGTCGTTTTCTTGGGGTACATGGTTCCGAACAGCTTCCTAGCCGTCCGAAGAATTTCCTTCGCTCCCCGTAAGCCACAGAATTCCGAGACTCATTCTGCTCGAGGGAGAGAAATGTTTGTTCGCGAAGCAGGTCGACGGTAGAAGAGTGTTTTAAATTTTAGCACAGAAGGAGTTGCCCGTGATATGCCATATGGAGATTGCTGACATCGAAGGGGAGTGATCTCTCAATCTGAATGACTTCATTGGCACCGTCAAGCGCTGGAGACTACGATAAACTAACCCGGCCGTCGTATCTCTGTGCTTATCAGAGAGGGTTGTGCCTCACCTTGCACTGAGGAATTATTATTGGAAAGTTGCTGCAATATCCTCTCTGGAAGACCGGGCGCTCGGAGCAAATTTCGCTACTCCAGCGTTATCCTACCGCGTGGCTGTACGGGACGGTTGACTGGTCCTGCAGTTACCCACATTCCTGGGTAAGAAAATCGCGTCGTGACTGACTGGAACCACTCACTCGGAATTACATCCAGCAAGTCAGAACCGAAGAAGGCAGTTGCGAGCCGGCCACAAAGGTGTGCTTCTAGTGTCCTTTGCCGCTGAGCAAGTCCGGGTGCAATGGCTACCAATCGGCGGCAGAAACGAAAACGTGAGTTGGAAATCGAGCATCGCTCCACGCCTATCGCAGGTCGCTCCGGAGGAATCAACGGGTACACTAGTTCAAATGGATACGGCGGATCCAGCGCCAGCTCGCCGTATAGCGACCTATCATCGAGTCGGAAGCTCACGAAGCGCTTCTCTGCGTTCTCTCTCCAGCGACATGCTCAGGTATGTACAGTCCGTCTACGTACTGGAGAATGAATCAGTGGTTGAACCCGATCGTGTGTGCTAGTGTCATTCTGAACGCAGTTATGAAACAAGTGGGAACATGCGCGGTTACACAAGTACTGTAATACTGACTGATTAGAGTGTTTACAATGGGAGGAGAAAATGATTTGGACAAAACTCACTCTCTGGCCAACCTCCTCCACCACACCAACAACACAGCTCCAGTAGATAAATCCACCAAACCTTCCATACAGCTGTTTTGAAAATAATTTTTACAGTTGTCGTCAGTGCAAGTCCCAGGAGTACTAAACGGCTGGAGTATTTGGATAGAACTCCATTTATCCGTTTTACTCAATCTCCGAACTCCATTTTATAAACAGGCGTATCACTGTGAGAATGAAAATAGTGCAGCCGTATGCTTTGAGGCGACATTGGGGCTAACATGCACGTGAAATAAAGTGCAAGATCACACTGACACATCAAGCACACGTATGGCACGGCAGACACAGGTACACAAAATAATTTGATCATAGACCATAGCATTCTGAGCAAATGCACCGAAATGACGCACCGAAATGATGCACTGAACTAGCACAATGAACTAGCACATTGGACTGGCACATTGAATTGCGAAAAAAACTGAAATATCCGAGTGAAATAGCGCACCGAAATATCCGTGACAATGAAATACGACAATGAACCAACACGCTGAACTGGCACACTGAACTATTTCTCTCAGCGGGCATACTGAATAGTGGGGTGATGGTCTGAACTATCACCGCAATACTATTCAGCCGGCACTTTGATCTTTGCATCTACACCAACAGTATACCTACCTGGCTGTCCATGACACCTTACAAACATACTGTCTCTTGCACTTACTCTCTGTGCATGTTAGCACGTCTAAGAAAGTTGATACACAGAGGCAATATGCTTTGGTTCTGCAAAAGTGCTCAATGCCTGATTCAGGCAGAGCAGCGTGCACAACCGTCTGACGATTGGTTCAGCCATGAAACTCTGAGTCACAACGGAATTAATTTGCCAAGGTTTTCATTGTGTGCCTTTGTGTAAGAAAGTTGATAGCCTTCCCATACTGGATCTAACGCTTTCCCGCCCCCACTTGACTTGACACGCGACTGACTCACGACTACCAGCCAGAGGGTAGTGGCCATCTTTCCTATGACGTTATCACGCAACTTACTACCCAGTATTACGTTAGCACTTACATCACCTCAAAGCACACTATTGCACTTCTTCATTTTCACAGTTCTTCTCTGTTTAAAGGGGAAGTTAAGGCAAAAATCAAAATTTCACCAGTTGTAGTCTTCGGGGTGCTGAGTCGAATGGTCTTGGTCCGAGAAAGCTGAGACGCTCCCTTCCTACTTGAATCCCAATCGAACTCGCGCACTTCCACCGAAACTGGGTGACTGCGCCCTACGAGATGGGGATTTGTATGCAAAATGTCACTAAAAGCGCCATTTCGTTCTTATAAAAGCACGGATGACCGCGATTGGCCCATATGTTGTAGTCTTTTGGACGCTGAGTCGACTGGTTTTGGTCCGAAAAGGCTGCGATGCAGCGTTCCTCCTTTATTCCCAATCAAACATGGTTGAAGAAGCGGTCACGTGCTCCTGGGTGCCCAAATCACCTGGTCACCACGCCAGCAGGCGACAACTTTCACACCAAGGTTCAACTCGAGTGACAGGACTGCACCCAAAAAAGGTCAAAACAGGCTGTAAGTTGTACCCTGCAGGCACGGTGACCAGGTGACTGGTGTACGCAGGAGTACGTGACCGCTTGTTCAACCATGTTCGATTGGGAATTAGGGGCGAACGCTGCATCGCAGCCTTTTCTGACCGAACCCAGTCGACTCAGCGTCCAAAAGACTACAACATATGGGCCAATCGCGGTCATCCGTGCTTTTATAAGAACGAAATGGCGCTTTTAGTGACATTTTGCATACAAATCCCCATCTAGTAGGGCGCAGTCACCCAGTTTCGGTGGAAGTGCGCGAGTTCGATTGAGATTCAAGTAGGAAGGGAGCGTCTCAGCTTTCTCGGACCAAGACCATTCGACTCAGCACCCCGAAGACTACAACTGGTGAAATTTTAATTTTTGCCTTAACTTCCCCTTTAAAGGAGGGCTATTCAAAAACCCTTTTGAAAAATCCTTGCCATGCCATATTCATGGAAATTTCAGTGATAAGAACAGCA